AAAAACAAAAACGCTAAAAACCTAATTCCAAACCTCTTTACTCACGTCGATCGTTGTCGATGTTGTCTTGGAAGTCGTCCTTTCCCGTCAACCATTTCATCTAATCAGATTCCAACGCACGACGGGAGGAATCATAGCTTGAATCGTTGGAATCATCGCTCTTAGTCAGAATCAATAAATCACTACAATCGTCCAATTTTTTTCTGCAATCATTGCTTGAATCATGGGGTTCGGTCGTTAGGTGTTCGAGCGATTGGTCGCCGTTGAGATTTCGACCGATTGGCAGTGATTGTGGCGGCTAGTGGTGTTGAGGAAATTGAAATTAGGATTTTTTCGGGATTTTGAGATTTTTTATAATTTAAAAAAAAATGGGTTTTTAAAAATAATAACTTTAAGTATTTTTTTAAATAAATTTTTATATGTTTGACACGTGTAATATAATAATCAAATTTAACGATAATTACGGTTCATACACCTAAAAGTTCAATGTTAAAAACATTAGATACTTATTTTTAACAAAAAAAATTAGGCGCATAAAATTAACTTTCGATATAGTTTGAACACTTATTTTTATATTAAACTATATTAAGCTAACTTTTAACAGTAAAACTGCAATAATAAAAACTTTCAAATTTTACATAATATTATAATTTTGTTTTAATTCTTAAAATCAACTCTTAATACTTTAAATTCGCATCAATTTAATCATTCTTTTAATCCATTTTTAACCATGATTCCGTTCCTACATATTGTTGTTTTTTATTTTGAAAAAAACTTATATTTATGTATAAACTAATATCCAATAGTTAAATCAGTGAGAAAATTGTTGAAATCCATTAAATAAATTTAATTAAGAAAAATAAATATTAATTAAACAATATTTTTCTTATCGTTGTTATGGTAGTTGCACTGGCAGAGCCAGGCTATACGGAGGGATGTCATGTGACACTCAAAAACTTTTGGAAAAATTCTTTTAATATAAATTTTATATAAAAATACTTAAAAAATAATAAAAATTAATATATTTTTAAAATAATGTTTAACACCCTTAAACATAAATTGACCGTCGTTATTCATTTTTATTCACTAAAAAAATCTTCATGCAATTTTTAAATTTAACACCTCAAAATAAGTTTTCTCTAAATTTGACACCCAAAAAATAAATATTCTAACTCCGCCCTGAATAGTTGGCTTTGCCCCGTGTCAGAACACCTTATTTTTCAAACAATAAATATTAGCTTATAATTATTTCAAATTATTTTAAAAATTAAAAATGTAAATGTGTAAAACATTTATTAATTACAAGTCAATTCTCCAACTCGACCGTATTTCAACAACCAATAATGATTCCCACCTGGTTTTGGGTTGAATATCTTTTATGGCCCGGCATGGACTAATAAATTAATTAATAAATAAATATCTTTTTTCATCTTGAAATTGAGCCGTGCAAGTTATAATTTTTAATGTAAAAAAATACAATATTTTTTTAAATTTTTAAAAGCCGCAAAATGCTAGAAGATAGCGGTTAATATACTCGCACACACGTGCTTATAATCTCTTCGATTATTATTCATAATTAAGGTAATGCATTTCTTTATAAGTCAATCTTCAAATTTGACTGTTTATTAATTACAAAATCTATTTGTTGACATAATGTCATTTTTATTACTTGTAGTAATGAAATTTAAAGCAAGAATAAAAGAAAAAAATAACAATATGAGTGATATGATATTATTTTTTAATTGTTTGTGTATTATGAGTTTTACAAAGTTATTATTTATAAGACTAGGATTACAGGCACAAAATGGGTTTTACAATGAGGTGAAACATCAAAAGTTTAGGGAGATGAAAGGTGAAATCACATTTATATTTCATAGAATTCATAATACTCTCTTTTTTATGTCTTAAAAAATGTATTTTGTGAAAATATTATTAGAGAAAATCTCGATGGAAAAAAGCACGGTAAAAAAAAGTACACCATATTTTAGTACACATAACATGATGCCCTATTAAAACCATTTCTAAGAAGTCCTAGTGGGACAAAACCATGGGTAAGGAGAGAATAGTGCAACGAGTGTTTTACTCCCCTCGTAAATGCATCGCTCGAGATCTTCAAAATGACGTAGTCAAATGTTGAAGATTAAGTTCTCAAATGTAGCAGGAAGGAACATCTTAGTACGTAATTTTTTCAAATTATCACTTGAATTAACACGTTGAACATCAATGTCTCTTCTATTTTGTACACCACGAGTGGAAAAAAATAGTGATATGTGGTGTGTTATATCACTCATTATGTAATTTTGTTTAAGTAGTGAAATATATATTGTATTATCTTCATATAAGATTGTTGGAGATTCTTCTTTGAAGCATGAACCACAATTTTATCATATAGGGTGAATTACAAATCTCAATCACACGTTCAAAAATAGCCTTACGGATAACCAAAATTCCAACTTAATTAGAAGAAAGGATAGTTATTTCTTGTTTCATGGAACGTCAAGAGATTGTATTACCACGAAATATAAAAATATAATCAGTTTGTGATATAGTATTACGGAGATCGAATAAATATATTGCGTTTCCAGCACCAAATAAATATGTTTTAGATAAATCAAACAAAAATAATATATTATATTTCGTACCTTAAAAATAAGTAAATATATGTTTGACTTTATTTTAATTATACCATTAAAACTTAAATAAAATTTAGTATAGAAACTAAACGTTGAGTTTCAAAATTTAAATTCTAAAATATCTATTTGAATTTCTTTAAAAATCACATAAAAACACAATTAAACATTTGGTAAATAAAAGTCAATTCTCCTATTTGACCGTATTTCAACAACCAATGGGTTGAATATCTTTTACGGACTGGCATGAACTAAAAAGTAAAATATAAACGTATATTCCTCCTTTTTGAAATTAAGCCATGCAAGTAATACACTATGTTTTCAAATCCTTAAAAAGAAACAGATTTTTAGAAGATATTAATTAATATCATCGCTCACACGTGCTGTTAATCTTTTCAACTATTATTCATAATGCATTTGTTTATAAGTCGATCTTCAAATTTGACTTTTTATTAATTTTAAAATCTTAACTACTAATAACACGCATTCATCATCATCAGATGTAATTGTTTAAACTCGAGATCTATAAAAAAATATCACTTTAATTAACCACTGAAATCACGTAATATACTACTTAAAACTTATATTGTATATGATTTAAAAATAAAAAACTAAATTAAAAAGGGATAGAAAATGGGAAATGCAGACTTTTCTGCGGTCAAAGTCATATAATTGACCAATCTGTTCGTTAACTTCTTATTACAACGTTTTGGTGTGGTTGGTTCATGAATTCAACTATTTTCCTTGACAAAACCTTGAGTGTTAGCTTCACATTGTTTTGAAGAGTGGTTTTGAAAATTATTGTTAGAAAATATTTTTTAAAATTGCTTTTAGAAAAGAATTTGAAATTTTAATATTTGTTATTATTGTAAAAAATATTATTCAGAATATAAAATTCTTGGATATGATATTGTAGGATTTAAAATATATTAATTTGAATTAAATTTTTTATCTCTTTTGGTTTAAACGAAGAATCACAGTAGATACGATGATATAATAACTGATCGATATTTGGATTTTCTGATTCTATAAGAATGTAGAAGAGGGAGCAATAGATAAAAATGTTTCAATCATTCACTTAATTAGTCTTAATTAGGCATGTAAACGAATCGAACGAATAGGAACGAGGGTATGTTCATATTTGTTCGTTCGTTTAGATTTAACTAAACAAACGAACGAACACGAACAAATAAACGAACATAATTTTTCTATTCGTGTTCGTTCCGTAAGGAACGTAGCTTATCCGTGTTCGTTCATTTTAATTCATTAAAATGATAAACAAGCACAAACGAACGAACGAACATAAAATGTAACTTTAGGTTAAATCAAGCAAATATTCTTAAAAGAATATAGATAAACGGAAATAAATATAAATTTAATTAAACAAATGAATATAAATGAACGAATTACTGAACGTAAATGAATGAATTATTGAACAAAAACGAATAGATTACCAAACGTACACGAACGTAAACGAACAAACGAGCCATTTGTTCGTGTTCGTTTGTTTAATTAAACGAACAAAAAAATTTGTTTATGTTCGTTCGTTTAATAAATAAGTGAACATAAACGAATTTCCTGTCGAACGGTTCGTTTACAGACCTAACCTTATTCAAGAGATTTTAAAGAGACTTTTAGTGTTGATATCATGCGTTAAGCGATGATAACTATTTTAATTTGAACAAAAAACTACAATTAATGATGATACGATGATCGATCAATATTTAGATCTTTTATTTTCATAAAAAGGTAAAAAAAAAGAACAATAAATAAAGAGACTCTAATCCTCCATTTAGTCTTAATCAAGAGGTTTTAGAGGAACTTCTTAAGAGATGCAATGTTTCGAAAATTTTATATCTGAAGATGTCACTTTAAAATCTCAACTGCGTAATAATTATTAAAAAAAAATTGATGTACGAAAATAAAGAGACGATACAACAAGATTTTAAATAAACTGTCGACTTTAGGCGAAACTTATCCAAAACTTTATTTACATTATTTTATTCTAGAACATGTCTAGAGGCGATGTATATCTAATGAAAGAGGAGGAAAATGTGAAAAGAAAACGATTTGCCAATGAAAAAGAACAAGTGGGCAATAAGGCACGCCAGCCAATAGACAAAGCAACAATTTGCTGCTGTCACATGATGACGTCATCCTATACGAATTTGGAGGTACCCGACAAATCCAAACGCATCATCACGTGTCCTAAATGAATCTTCGATGCCCTACAGTGTTATTATTAAAAGAATACGAATATTCAAAATTTAAAGGGAAAAAAAACCAAAATCTGTAAAATACGGTTGCTCTGGTTCATGCATCTGTCTTCCCTATATAAAACCCCATTTCCCTTTGCCGAGGAAAATTGAAAATTTTGGAGAGAGTTAAAACTGTTTTATTTGGCTATGGAGATGTATTCAAATTCAAATCATTCCGATTTGGCTATGCTGGACTCAGTTCGGCAGTACTTACTCAACGAGTCATCAGACCTTCGACTCAATGCCTCCACCGATTTTCTTGCCGTTCCTCCCATGTATTGCAGGAGCTCAAGCTTCAGCCGTTTGTATCCTTGTTTCACTGAAACCTGGGGTGATCTTCCTCTCAAAGAAGATGATTCCGAAGATATGCTCGTTTTCGGACTCTTACGAGATGCTCTAACCGTCGGCTGGGCACCGTCCGATAATTCTTCGACGAATTTCCCGACGATTAAGCCGGAACCGCAAGAATTCTCAATGGAGATCACATCCGTGAAAAAAGTTGATACGGCGGAGGTGACAACGGCTCCCGCGGTGGTTCCTCCAAAAGGAAAGCATTACAGAGGCGTCAGGCAGAGGCCGTGGGGGAAGTTCGCGGCTGAGATTAGGGACCCGGCTAAAAATGGGGCTCGAGTTTGGTTAGGTACTTTCGAGACGGCTGAGGATGCAGCTTTGGCTTATGATAAAGCGGCTTACAGGATGCGTGGCTCCAGAGCTTTGTTGAATTTTCCATTGAGGGTGAATTCCGGTGAGCCTGATCCGATCCGTATAACGTCTAAGAGAGCATCGCCGGAGCCATCTTCGTCGGGAAATGCCTCGCCGAAAAGGAGGAGAAAGGCGGCTGCATCAGCTCCTGCTGTGGTTCAAGCCGGGTTAGACATGGGTCAAGTTAGTTTCTGTACACGTGGTGAACAGCTATTGGTGAGCTAATGGTGATGTGGCATTGGATTAACGTCAGCAGTGAGCTTATGTACAATATTAAAAGTACATTCCTTGATTAAAAAGCATTCGTTTTGGAATATTCTTTTAAGAGTGGAGATATTGTTTAGGGATGGCAATGGGTCGGGTTGGGTCGGGTTTTTGGGCCACCCGACCTGACCCGAAAAGAAAGGGTCTTCCACCCGTGACCCGACCCGACCCGACAAAACTATAATTTCACCGACCCGACCCGACCCGATAGACAATTTTAAAACCCGACCCGACTCGAATTTATTTTTATTTATTAAAAACAGACCCGACCCGACTCGATCATATCCGACCCGATTTTAATGTTTATTTATCCCAGCAGCCATTGGAGCTCTTCCAAAGCTCCAAGTCTTTCACTTGCTCATAACAAGCAATCAAGCAGTTTGATGAACGCAATGTGCTTAGCAAACACGGTTTGGGTTAGTTTTCATTTTTCAAGGCTTGTTACAAATTACAATCACAGATCACAGAATGGTGCTCTCTAATAGAAACGAGGAATATTAAATATATTAGTACATATAGTTCACAATTACCGCTTTCAAAACTAAATTCATAATTAAAATACATTCAGATTATCATCCTTATAAGATACATCTCATATGGTGCTCTCTATCCCTATCAAAACTAACACTTAAAAACTCAACATGGAAACAATTTTATAAATCCATAATTAAAATACATGTTCACAATTAAAATTATAAATCCATACAATACTTAAATAAGTTAAAAGTTCAAACATAATTATAATAAAACGAGACATAAATACGGATGTTCGATGGAAAAAAACATCCATTACCATCGGCTTGACAAGTTCACATTCTTCAATCTTAGCTAACCACTCAAGTAGTCAAATCCTATAAAATAAAATTATCAATTAATATTTTAAAAAAAGATTATGATAGGAGTAAAGTAACAAATATGAAATTATTACTTACAGTTATCTCATCTTGTTCGATCTCATCATCTTCATAAAAGTTGCCCTCATTTGAGTTTGATTCTAAAACATCGTAATGAAAATAAAATCTAATAAGAATAATGACAAAACATATAAGTAAAACAATGCAAAATTACTTGATAAATATGTTTGTACCTTCTTCGGCCCATAACCAATTTTGACAACAAGCCAAAGCTTCTACAGTTGAATGATGAAGTCTATTACGTTGTGCATTCACCAATCTCCCTCCATTACTAAAAGTAGACTCCGAAGCAACAGTAGAAACCGGAATGGCATAAATATCTCTTGCAATAGCTTGCAATATAGGAAATTGTGGCCCAATTGTCTTCCACCAAGTCAATATATCAAAGTCCGACGTCCTAGAAATAACATCCACTTCTAAGTAACGGTCTAACTCAGATATGACTTGTGTTTTCTTTTGTCTCTTCCTTGAAACGTAAGCATCAAAATCACCTGGGTTACCCAAATCAACTGGAACACTATCCAAAGATGCACCGTTGAAGGGTTGAGGTTCATTCTTTGAGGACATTATTCTTTCTTCATACTCTGTGACCAAATCCCGACATAATTGCACAATTCTTTCAACTTCATGTTCAGCAGTAACCCCATAAATATTTTCAAAGTAATACTCCAATAATGTTGTTTTGTACCTTGGGTCTAAAACTGTGGCAACACCCATGATACCATTCATATCGTTCTAATATTTCTCAAATTTCTCCAACATGCACTTTGCCATTCTCGAAATAATGATATCACTATGTGTAATCCACTTATTCAATGCCACCCTAATCCTACAAATACTCGGAAAATAAAGATTTGCTGTAGTAAATTTTGTACCTGAAAAACCTTCGGTGATCTCGTAGAATAACTTCAACTTATCACAGATCACCGATGCAAAAACCCAATCATCATCTGTTGGCAAGTACTTGTACAAAGGGTCACGATGTAACTGCACACAACGAGTAAAAACATCCTTATAAGATAAAGCTGTTTGGAGCATCAAGAAGGTAGAATTCCATCTTGTTCTAATATCAGAACATAGTTTTTTTGTAGTTGAAATACGCAATTGTCGTGCCGCCTCTTCAAATCGTTCCCACCTTTTTGGGGTAGCGCTCCAAAAAAGAACACTATGACGGATTCTTTCTATACCATCTCTAATCACACTTAATCCATCTTTAACAATCAAATGCAATATATGTGCACAACAACGCATGTGGAAAAAAGCTCCGTTAAGCAATAGCGTATTAGCTCCCATCCTATCAACCAACAACTTAATGACACCATCATTCACACTACAATTATCAACTGTAATAGATGTGAGTTTCCTATCAATATTCCAATCTAGGAAACATTTCATCAAACTAGAAGCAATGACATCAATGGTATGTGGAGCTGGTACATATTCGAACCTAATAAAACAACAAATAAAATGAATTAATTTTAAACATATCGAAACATAACTAAATGTATAAATATATTTAAACAATTACCTTATAACGCGCTTTTGTAAACTCCAAGAGTTATCAATGTAATGTGCAGTAACAGCCATATATCCTTTATTTTGGTGGTCTGAAGTCCACATGTCAGTTGTTATAGCAATTCTGCCTTCATTAGCCTCCAACTTTGACAACATATTTCTCTTCTCCTTTTCGTACAGATCCAAAATATCACGTTTGATAGTATTGCGAGTAGGCATTTCAAACATAGGTTGTAGACTAGAACAATACTTTCTAAACTGTGAATGATCCACTATCGATAAAGGATATTCATGCATGATTATCATCTTCGAAAGCTCTTTCCTTGCCACATATTGATTAAATGAGAAAGCCCCTATTGTTAATTTTCCATCCAACTTCTTTTGATTAGCTATTAAGACTTGTTGTCGAATGTCTACTTGAACTCGCTTCTTGCACCTTTTGATATGATCACGCAAGTGACTTGTCCCATTCTTAGATTCACCATTGAATTTGTTTTTGCAGTGGTTGCATATTGCCTTCCACTCATTGTTGATCTTCTCTTTTTTAAAGTGATCCCATACCATAGACTTTAGTTTTGATGAAGTGCATTCGCTTGACACATTATTTTCAACCACAACATTTGGTTGACTTAATGTAGGAACTGAATTTCCTTCAGAACTTGGTGATGGACTTCCCTCGGTTGATAGTTGTGGAGAGTTAATAGTATGAGATGTGGATGAAATGGAATTCTCTCCCAAGTTAGACATTTCCTGTACAAATAATGATAAAACATCAATTAATATATCCTAAACTTAAATCAATTAATATATCCATAACTGCAAAAGTTAAGTTTATAAAGTAAAATTAGCTACATCAAATGAACACAACATTTAGAAAGAGCAAAAATACAAGGAGAATACCATTTTGTCAACCTAAGTTTCCCTTGTAGGCTAATTAAAAGTACAAGTTGAATCTGAAACACACATTCGCTTATTATAGGTTACAGATACTAGCAATATAACAATCAACAACCGAAAAAATGAATCTTCATTTTAGGTTTCAAAAGTGAAAATAAACAATGATAACCGAGTAAAACTAGAACAACATATGTGTGACTATATATATATATCACTGTGATACTCAGATCCCAAAACTAACATAAAATCATTTTTTGCTCGCATTATGAGAGCCAAAGCCGATCCTCAAAAAGTCATAAAATCAAGCACCCAATACGATCTATGTGAATTTGGAGTTACATCAGTCGACTAGTAACATGAGGCTTTGGCCATCCTCTTAGCATGCTTCTTCATGGAAAAAAATTCAACAGCTAAAGTATAAAGAATGGCATTTCCTTGATATCAATAATAATTTTACAGTTTCCACCCAGGGAGAAACAATATTATTATTGTCTCACTGAAAAGTGAAACCATTAAAACAATAAGGTTTTATCAAACAGAAAAATTATAGATATCACCAGAATTTTGTCGTCAAACTCGAATATTCCAAATTCAAAGGCAAACATCAAACAAAAATGTTTAAGTACGATGGAATATGATTTAAAAAAAAAGATGAAATAAGCTGGATCTAACAATAAACCAGAATAACTATCAAAATGAACCATTTATAGTGAACTACAACTGTCAAAATGGAATATTTACACTGAACAAACAATATAAAAACATAAGGTAATTGTTAAAGCTGGATCTAAAAACAAATGCTGCAAACAAGATTTGTTGTCCGTAACAAAAATCAAGAAATGATATCTCAAAACAAAATTTAACAGAGAGAATTTATCAGAGATACATGAATGGTTATCTGTTTTGTTGCTTAGAGAATTTAACAGAGAGAGAGAGATGCAGAGATATCAAATACCTGAAGTATAGAAATCAAAAAGTGAGTTGTTGCGCTTGCGTCGGTGGCTCAAACCCTCGGTGGAGAATTTACAAAAGAAATTAGTTAGAGATCTGACCTCAGCGTTTAACTGGTTTAAGTGTTTGAACTTTGAAGATATGCTGCAGATGCTTTGTCGACTAGGGTAGGAAACTAGGAACAGGGAAAGCAAAAAAAGTAAATATATATATATATATATGCAGTAACTATGCGGGTCGGGTCGGGTTATTTTAACCTTAAATCCGACTCCGACCCGACTCCGAAAATTTTAATATAAAATCCGACCCGACCCGAATCCGAATTTTTTTTAAAAAAATCCGACCCGATCGGGTCGGGTTCGGGTTCCATGGCCATCCCTAATATTGTTTGGTTTGTGAATACAAAGGGATTTTTTTTGTTTATATTATTTTTTATATTTATAAAATTAATTAAAATATTAGTAATTGACTTAAATTATTTTTAAAAAATAATTTAAGTTGATTATGAGATAATATTATTATAAAAGTATTTTTAAATAAATATATTTTTTTAGAAATAATGATAAATACAACGTATGCAAATTTCACGAGATAATGTTATCGAACTTTTTATTTCACGAGATAATGCTCTTGCCATATTATTTGCTGAGATAGGGTGAATTCTACATTGCAGCATTAGGTCGCCATGGCATCCGAGCGAGCTTGGAGGTCGCATGGTAGGTCGCCATGGCATCCGGGCGACCAAGGAGCTGGATTGTGTAGGTCGCCATGCACTCAGGCCGTAGGTCACGAGCTATGCATGCATGTGGGAGTTTCACGAGCTATGCATGCATGTGGGAGTTGTGCATGACTTATGCACGTCGAATGTTCTTGGGGTAGGTCACCATGCAGTCCCGACGACGTGGTAGGTCGCCATGTACGCCCAGCGACATGGTAGGTTGACATGCACGCCCAGCGACATGGTAGGTCACCATGCACGCCCGGCGACCAAGCTTTACTCTGCTCCCACTGCTCCCTCATGCATGCATTGCATGCCATAGCTGGAGATTCCTGCAGCCATAGCTGCATTATTGCAGCGTTAATTTAGCTGCTAAATGCAGCAAATATTGCTGTTGAATTGCAGCCTTTCAATGCTCAATAATTACACGATTCAAAGCTCAATATTATTTGCTTCAACGGTCAAATTCAATGACGCTCTCCAACACTCATTTGCTTTATATAAAGGATATGGGGTTTAGGGTAGAAGCAGAAGTAGAAGCAGAAGAAGAAGCGATATAGAAATTTTGCCGAGAGCAAGGAAAGAAGAAGAGTAAAAGAAGATAAAGGCTCAAACATCGTTCGTGAGGTAATTTTTTATTGTTTAATTTAGTTTATTATATGAAATTATTAGTTTGTTAGTTTAGGGTAAAACTAAAATTTAGTTAATTAGTTTGTTAGTATAAATTATTAGTTTGTTAGTTTAAGTTATATATTATATTATATAAAAAATTAGTTAATTAGTTTATTAGTTTAAGTTATTAAATGTAAAAAAAAAATATTTAATTAATTTGTTAGTGTATTTAAACGTATATTAGGTTGTTTGTTGAAGTTGAAGTTATATTATAAAAAAATTAATTAGTGCTTAATTAGTTTGTTAGTTTGTTATTTTAACTAAGTTATATTATAATAAAGAAATAGTTTATTAGTTTAAGTTATATTATAAGAAATGACCATCCAGCTCAGTTGGTAGAGCACAAGGCTCTTAACCTTGGGATTATGGGATCGAGTCCCACGGAGGGCATTTTATAATTCGGAGGTCTCCTACGGAAGCTGCTCTTAACCTGGCGTTGGGGGCAGCCTACTGTTTTACCTCATCCTTACCCTATTACATATGTGAATAAGGGTCATCTAATTTTTTTAAGTTATATTATATATTAGATTATATAAAATTAATTTGTTTAATTTATTGTTGTTTAAAGAAATATTTTGTTTACACGAACAATGTATTATTCTATAACATTTGCTCACGTACAGATTAATTCAAAGAAAGAAACAAGAAAGGAAAAGAAAGGAAAGGAAGAAGGCATAAATACACGGGTAATTTATTATTTTTTGCTGCCCATTTTTTGTTGTTGTGTATGTGTAAATTAGTTAGTTAGTAAGTTTATATTAGATTATATAAACTAATTTGTGCGAGATAATTCCCGTTTAAAAAAAATATTGTGTTTAAAAATATTGTATGTTGTTTTAAAAAATATTTTGTTTAATTTATATTTTATGTGTAAATTAGTAAGGAGTAAAAATTAATTGAATGAAATAATTCTTTCGAAAACATTATCTCGACTTTGCTTAACAAATTTGTTTGATATTTAAAAAAAATAAAAAATATTATCAAACTAATCATTATTTTTAGTAATCATTACTAAATGATTAGTATCAAATCTAAATCATTAATATTTATAATAAATAATTATTAGTAATCATTAATAAATCATATTATTATTAAATCATTAAATATCAAATCATTAGATTAATAATAATTATTAAATCATTATTAATAATATTAGTAATCAATCAATCAAATTAAATAATAAATTTTATTTGATCGTTAATATAATAGTATATTATATTATATTATATTTAATTATTTAATGATTTATGAAATTATCTAATCTAATTTTTTAATCTAAATTTATTTTTTTATTTGTAGAGAAAATGAGCAACAACTTTTTCACGATTGTCCATTATAATGGACATATTATGGAAAATGAGGTCGAAGTTGTTTTTCAGTTTGAAAAACCAATAAATATGATGTTCAAAAAAGATATCACATTTATATAAATGAAGCATAAGATAGAAAGAAAAATTCGAGCTGCAGTTGATGGTTTGAGGTATAGGTTTATGATATGCCCCAGCCCAGTCAGATATGCTGCAGTTCCACTTGAAGAAGATGATGATATTGGAACCATGGTTGGATTACATGAGTCAACCAATATAGCAGTTATTGAGTTATTTGTTGATGTGCGTAACATATGTGTTGTTCCTGGTCATCAAGAGGTGTGACCCAAAATCCATCTGAAATAGTTTTCGATAGTGAGTTTGAGAAGCCGACATATAGGTTCCCAAACAGTTTTATGGCACTATTGAAAAGTGGAAATGAAGTCGGAGGGACATCTGTAACAACAGAGTATGAGACGAAAAACATAACGGAATTGGTTGTTGATATTGATGTTGAAAATTGATGGGGAGAAATTCATGATGATTCAAGCGAAGATGAAGAAACCGAAGAACC